AGTCACATTTTGCATTATTTGTGAAATATCTGTATTTTTCTGCCTCGGTTGGTCGCACACCTTCAAATTATAAATGTTGTGTTTAAATGAAAACTGAAATTTGTTGTTGCTTTAATTTTGCCGGCGTATAATTTTACTTAAATATAAATAAAAACTTCTCGAGAAATTAAGAAGCCAGGAGCTTCACTCCTCTAAATTGGGATTTTATTTAATTTCATTTATTGAAACAGATTTTTGTATGATGAAAAGCGAGTTTGCTTAATTGAAGGAAATTTTCATTTTTTTGAGATTCCAATGTGCGTTTAGTAACGAATTAAATAAAAATCAAAAGGAATAATCCATCACATTTATTCATCTTTTATTTCCTTAATTAATGTTTGTGAGTTTGTAAGGATTTTGTGTGTGTGTGTTAGGTTTATAGTCTCCATCCTTCCCCCTACACGCTACAATAACATTCAACCCCACCATTATTTGCAGAATATTGGTGTATTTGCAACTGTTTAGACATTGTAACAAGCCGTTTGCAAGCGATAAGGGCGACAGATAAAACCAAACAATTATAAATTGTAAAAGAATATTCTAGACTGTTCCCTTGTAGTTTTCATTAGGAAACATTAGGGGCAATGCTCGACACGGTTTGTTTTGGGAACCACCTGGTTGCAGACGCTCTAAATTGATTTTAAAAATACTTCAATATATAACTCAAATTGAACATTCGTTGCAATAAAATATATTTTGAAGAGCATGCACGGCCGCTTCAGCCTGCGCAAAAGACCGCGCCTTCAGTGTTCAAAATATTAGCAAAAATTCGACATGACAAACTATCGATTAATCAAGTAAGACACTGCGCATGATTATTCCTTTTTAGTCAATTGACAAAATAATATTGTAAGTGATGTAGTTTCTAAGACACACCCTCCGATCTCGAAAGCATACATTATCCAGCTGAGCCATAGAAGCGATTCGAAGATGCAGCAAGATTGTTCAGTTCACTGGTCAGCTTTTTTGTTGTGTGTAGTATGTGTGTGACTAAAAATGGACCGTTATTGCCTGCAGAAATTGCGCATGCGCACTAGTTTCCCCCATTTTTCTGGGGAAGATTTCAGGAGATGCCCTAGGGTTGCAGGCCAGTCAAACGGTCCAAAGTCGCCTACGCCGGGCAAATCACGATTCTTCGTTATTTGAGCATATTGTGGGCCATGAACTTTAGGATATGTAAACAATTATGAGTGGAAGCCGTGCACAGGACTGTGAGCTTGTAGTTCGGTGCACTTTGGATTAAATTGGAGCACCAAAACACGCTCTGTTTTGCAATGGAGTGTAGGCGTCGTTGTTTTAAAAATGGCGATGAGACCATTCAGGACAATTTTAAGGGGTGATCATCTTCGGATGGAAATTTCTCCTAAAAGTCATCACTTAAAGGGAAAATACAACATTTGCAAACATCAAAAATAAAACTACCAAATCATTTTGAAATCCCTTGCTGGACTGTTAGTGAATGACAGTGTAAAGCATCCTGTAAAATCATGGCACCTGGTATACTGTCATTTTCAAGAAAAGTGGTATTTTTGTATCAATTTCCAACGCTGATCGGCCGATCAGCGTTGGAAAAAACTGGCTTTTTTTCAAATACAGGCCCCCAATTGACCATCGCACTTGTTTGCAATCGATTACACACCCATGAACGGGTACAAGCCAGCTAGACTGGTTCCCTGACCTTAGAATTCCCCATTATATGTAAACTGCTCTGTTTCTTCTTAAATGGAGTCAGGGTACCAGACTACAGGAAAATGATTGTTTTTCTTGGTTTTTATAGCATTTTTGAACCCAAAACCTCAAAAAAGTCAGTGTAACTATATTGCTATATATTTCCAACCCCCCAATTCCATCCATTTCTGAAAATTACAGCAAAAGCAAATGATGTATATTCCCTTTAACTCCCCATCAATTGAAAAGAAAATGAAGATGATGAAATTAGCTTTAGTTTGATGTGTAACTTGAATACCTTGGACAGTTGTGAGTATTTTTCCTGAATTTTTGAAGTGGGGGTATTTATCATTGGGGTCTATGGCAATTTCTTTACTGGTTTGCAACCCTAGACGTTGCTACTGACAAGTCCGTTGGCATTATTGGTTGGTTGTGATAGCGCCCTCTCGCGGCGGCAGTTATCGCGGCGGCGGTTTATCGCGAATCAAACCATGCAACGTCTAGCCCCAAGACTAGCAAAACCGTAGACGCCCTCCGCCCTTCTGAAAACAAATTACACTTTCAATCCTGGTAAACTGGTCAAGCTTTTGATGTCCGTTACTTGATATACGCACCGAACACTGGATAGGCAATCATTATTGTAATACCTGCCCAGAGTCACGTGACCCTATATAAGATATGGTCAAAATATTACGTGATAACTACTTAACCAGCAACGTACAAATACCTATTTGTATTATTATTATTTTTTGAAGCCATCAACGTTGGTGTTGTTCGTGACAAGCTGGAATTAAACATAAGTTGGCCTCCATTTCCCTATTTCGGTTTCACTTCTTTCTATTAGCTGCAACGCATTGGATTTGCTTCACTTATTTGGGGACAGACAGACGACTGAAGCTCTTCAGAAATGAATCCGTTATACGGGATGATTTGTTTCTGCGTGTTTGGTGCCGTATGTCACCTTTCTTGTGGTAAGTCAAATTATGTCAACGATATTTTGAAGAAAACAAAAAAGCTGTAATGATCTTTCTTGTTGAGTTGATAGTTATTCCCACAAAAAGGAAAACAATTCCACAAAAGGATCATCGATATCGAAAGTCACGATGAGGCTCATCGGGACTTTCGAAGTCGATGATCCTTTTGTGGAATTGTGAACGCTCAGAGCGTTCACAGATGGGGGCACGTTCCTCTGATTTGGGGAATTTATGTCGTATGTTTTCATAGGGACGATTTTGACAGCCGTGGAGGGAGAAGATGTGGAGCTGGAATGCAAAGCACTTGACTGGGCGGTGACTCCACCATGCAGTGGTCCATCTTACGCATTAGAATGGCATGTAAATGCGTCAGCGATTGCCACTTGTACAGAGACCGTTGCAGAAAATACGCCTGTGCTTAACAAGACAAGTGGGGCTTTGACGATACCGCATGTTTCTGGGTCCTGGAATGGCACAAAGTTCTACTGTCAAGTGTTACACGGAGGAGGAGACAAGCATTCAGAAGTAGAACTTATCGTGTTTAATGGTGAGTATTTTTATATCATTTACGACAAATCTGCGGATGTCGTTAGTTATTATGAATAAAAAGCAAGATGGGCAAAATGGGAAGGAGCACCCTGTAGCGTCAAATAAGGATCAGTTCTACTATGTAGTAATACACCAAGGAAGAGCCAACCGTTCAGAAGTAAAATTTACCTTGTTTAATGATGGTTTGTTTTTGTTATATTATTCATGAATATGGAGACAAATCTACGGATTTCGTAAGTTACTATGAATAAAAAGCGAGATAGGAAAAATGGGAAGGAGCAGCCTGCAGCGTCAAATAAGGACCGACTATTGATTCTGGATCAGCCCAGGAAATGTCCCCCTTATATCTTCTTTTCTGATATTGTCGCGCGTGATTGTTTATCGTTTCAACATTTCTTTTGTCCAACCATTGGAATTTTAGACTTTATTGCAGCGTTTTATTACGAGCATTATAAAATTAGGACAAAACGTGGTATAAATTGTCATGTATTAAACACACGCGTGTAACCACATACATGCACTCTATCTTTCCATGACGTTGCATTTTCGAAATCAGAAAGCCAAATCAAGCCGAGACATTTTGTAGCCGAGCCTAGGATCGTTTATTCTTATATTTGGCAAAACGGAACAACTATTTATTATAATATCATGGGTTGCTCCTAAATACAGGAAAAGGGATTACTGAGACGACGTCTGTGTTGAACGGGATACTAGGAGGGGGTATCACCTTGGAATGTTTCCTCAAAAGAGTTCCATCCGGCTTTCCCAATATTACCTTCAAGTGGTTGCTTGGCAACAAACCCTTGCATGATGCGTGCACAAATGAGGGCAGCACCAGTGCGGGGAGGTATGACTATCACCATGACAACCATGGTTGTAACTTGACGATTAACGACCTCAAATTAACTGATGAGGGGCGCTACAGATGCGAAGCTCAGTATTCGGCTACGACGGTGTGGAAAAATACATCCTTGATAGTTAATGGTAAATAGAAACTTGATAGAGCTGTTTTAATCAAAACACATTCTTCTTATGGTTTACTTGCTTTTGATGTGGCACCATGTTCACTTGAGGGTTGTATGTGCGCGTACTCAATGCTATTATTACCACTACGGTGCTTAAAACTTGCCGAAAACGCGCGCGCCTCGAATAAACGTAAATACTGTTGCAGGTTGTTTTAGCCAGGTGGCAGACGAAAGACTGAGTTCAGTCAATTAGCATGAAGAAGTGATTTATCCTCCTGAAGCGTAATAAATCAGAGTGTTTCATGTTGCATGGGATTGAGTGCGTTTGCTTTATATTTGCGTTAAGCCGATGCGGCAAGCAAGGCCCCGGCGTATGGGTACGTTACAATACTATATGGAAGATACTGGCCGGAACGTCGAATTTACACCGCCGGTTGGTCTCACAACCACCCGGCTGTTTAAACGCAGTCGCTGAACATGATGTAGTCATATGCCATAGACTAGACTGTGGGTTAGGCAGGTACCGGCCCATTTGCAACCTTGACTACACTGAACCAGGACTCGATTGACAACTTGAAGTACATGTCGATTTTTGGGTGTTGCTGAATGCTGTATTTCTACTAAAGTTCCTTCATAACTATTGTCGTTCTTGATCGTCTTATCCTGATGCAAGTTGTAATGCTTTTCCCGCAGTGCCACCCAAATATGTGTACATCATCAACGTCACTACCGGCGAAGTTTATAGGGGAGACGTGAACGTCGGACCGGACACCTACCAGAGCTTCACCTGCCTGGCTACAGACACCAAACCCCCGGCAGAAATCACCTGGACATTCAATGGAAAGAACACAAGCGGAGAGACGAGGGTAGTTGGGACGAGATTGCACAACACAAGCAGCACGTTCATCGTGCCGTCGTTTCAGCCTGGTCAGCGGGGGAATCTGACATGCACAGCAACTGGGGCGGAAGGGAAGTTGACTACGGGTATTCTGTTGCTCGGCAACTATGGACAAACAGGTACTTTTATTAGTTTTTTCTCTCTGCCAGTTCTTTGTGTTTTTTTTATCCTCGTTTTCCTTAGCCCATGTATTCTTTAAAATCGTCGCAGAGTTGACAATCCGGCGAATCGACCATTTTTGGCGAGTTTGAGATTTTGTCATTTTTGTGGTTTTTAAAGGCTGCTTTTTTAGGTCTTTATGCCAAAATTTTTAATTCTTGTCTGGATTTTGAGATTTGGAGCCCCCCCCCCCCCTGTGGCGCATCAGTCATAATAACAATTCCACAATTTGACATAGTGACGAATACGCAATTTCGCTGGTAACCAGCTAATGTAAGGTGTGCGCTCAAAGTACCAACGAATGATGTACAACTGTGGTTGTCAAAAATGTCACGTAAACGGCGACTTTTGTTTAGACTAAATTCATTTTGCACTTATCTATTATTATCAAAATAATGTTGCACCCTACATGTAGAATGCATCATATTTTCCATACAAGTTAAACGAACTACATGGAGTCGTGCGGTCTGTTTTTATTTTTGATCGTATACAGCGCACGCGCGATCCGAAAACCTGACGAATAGCATACAAACAGTGTGAAGAACAAACGGCTATTATAGATTGTTTTAATTTGATTGTTTAACTGACGAATACGTTTACGATCAGCTAAAAACACATCGCACAACTTCTCCGATTAAATAAGTAAACTGATAGATACTACGTTTCCTATTTTATTTCGAATATACACCAAAAGGGTTATTATCGAACCATTATGGGTGAAATACGACGCCCAGAACAATGTCCAACCTCAAACGCGAATTACTCGAAACAGGGATTTTACTTATTCGTCCGTATGTAAGCTCTGCGACGAAATGATATATGTGATTTTAACTAACTTTCAAAATTGCTAAATTGGTGAGAATATCATATTTGATTGCAAATTATTAGTATTAAGTATCCCTTGGTATGATTCAAGAAAAAAATATTAAAAGTGTAATGATGGGTTTAAAAGATTAATTGCTGTTAGTAAAAAAAACACCCAAATTCTTTCCAACCAATCCGACTACCCACTGCCGTTAATAAGTGAGACTTTTGCCGTGCAAGACAATACGGCCCTCCTACCATGGCCCCATCCAATTGTTGGCCAAATGACGACCGGTCTTACATTAGGATATAATTATTACGAATGACCAGGATCATGTTATTCATCATAAATAATTTTATTCAAATCAACTAGCGAGGCAGCTTTTTTTCTCGTGTATTTGATTGAAGCAACAATGTACTAGGGGACTAGCTGAAATGCTCAATAGCAATGAAATTTTTATATTTTTTTAAGTTCTAACTTCTATGCCTTGTATTACGCCCATTGCAGTCAGCGGGAAGTAGCCTACACAAGCACGTTGTTGCATTGGAGAAAAGTATCATTCCTGTTTGGTGGAAGCCCTGAGTGGTCTAAACAGTAATTGTGTTCAATCTGATAACTTATCTGATATGCATAGGAATATATAGCTGCATTGTCCTGAATATATCAGGTTATGGTATATATGAATTTGTCCGTCATTTTACTCGTGTCGATGTCCTGTGCAAAATGCGTAAAATGCTGGCAGCGACCCATGTCGGCTTTGCAGTTCTAGTTTTCATTTCAAAGCACACCAGAATCAGCGTCCACTTTCTGTCACTTAGGCCAACACTAAAGACGCCGAGCTACTTCCGCACCGAACTATAAAGAAACAAGAACAAAGATTTATATTAGATCTAACAGCGTTTGTATTAATGAGAATCGACTCTAACTTCAGAAAATGTTAACCAGCCATTATTTGAAACAGTGTATATTGAGACAATGTATTATCTCATTTCGTAACAAGCACCGACAGATTGTAATCCGGCGGACACATAAAAGAAATGAAGGCCGATCAATAGGAGGGATTGGATTTTAGAAAGTAGGTGGTTAAAATCCTGTTTAAAATATACTTTGTGTTGTTCTGCCGTAACTTGAACCATTGTTTCATAATAGGAACAGAAACTAGGCTCACTTTTTTGCGCGCTGTTGACATATACCTACCTTGCTTATCAGCGTGGCAAATATAACACGTTTTACCTTAATATATTACCGGCACCGGCATGTTTTTAAAGATGGTGGATGGTCGTATCGGCTGTCCTTTCAAATATAACATTGTTAATAGTCACAAGCAAGCAGCTGTTAACCTTGTGCATGCTCGGTTAGGCACATACACGTTTGCCTATGTGATTTGTCGGAGTATTTTTTGTGTACACAGTAATGCATATTTTATCTACTTATTCCCTCAATAAGTGCGTTGCTGTATTTCGATACTTGCTCTATTTTTTGTGTTAGTGAAAAACCCATTCAGCTTTACTAAGATTGTGAGGGATTTAAGAACGGTTTGGTTAAAAAAAAACTGTAGGTCTCAGTCTAAAATGCAATTGTGAAAGTATTGTCCCCTGCAACATGGCAATAAGTTACCAGAAATACATTTTCTCAGTGAATTACTGTTTGTGATTTTCTTTAACATTTTAACTTGAATCTGATCGACATTTAAAAGATGGAAGGGGGGAGTCGGAAACGACAACGGAGATCTCAGATCAACAATTATCAGCAAACCGAGTGAGTTTATTTTTGAAACTGAATTTGCGCCACGCACTGCTTATACACTTAGTTTGTATTGCGGACGTCATAATATATGAAAGACACACGTCATCACTTGCGGAGATAATCCGGGAAAATTGAGCGTACATTTCGAGAAAAAAAATTAAGAACCTGGATGGGTTTATCTAATGAACCCATTACCTGCAAGCCACCGGTCTGACAGGGGCCATTTTCGTGGAGCTGCTTAGCACAAAAATGTGCTTTAATTAGCACCAAAAAAGCCTGGCTTAGTAAAAGCAGGTAACCTGTCAAAAGTCCATGTGATTTTCATGCTTAGAAAACAACAACTGAACATCAATCACAAGCAATATACATCACATGGCAATTTAGATGGTAATCCTGTTTTTGCCAAGGAAGACTTTTCATGCTAAGCACATTTCTGTGCTTAAGCAGCTATATGAATTTGACCCAAGGTGGCAAACAGCAAAATCTAGGTGCCTATATAGGTCACACAGTTGGGATTATAAGAGTCGATGGAGGAAATGGACACTTTAACATGAGAAGAAGGTTTCGGAAATTATTGGTGTTTTTTATACTTAATTTCTAGAAATTCTAGGCTCTAAGTAGTCGCTTCTATTTGTTGATTAAAATATGAATTGTGTAGGCAGGTATACTCTATGTATTATATTTGTTGTTATTGTTTAACCTTGCATAACATTTTCGTGTCTACCCTTGTTCCATAAAGTGTTTCAGGAACGATATCTGAAGAACACAGATTTCAACTAATAATAATGTACACTGTACTTTCCTTTTCAGTAAGCAAAACTTCAAAGAAAAACACCAGCTTTTATAAATATTAGTAAATAAAGAAAGACTTGGTTTGTATTGACTCATGAATTGTGCCTATTTGAATCCCAATTCAATAAACTATTGACCATAAGCTATTAAAGCTTACCCAAAATGTGTTCTGACGGATTTGCTAAAAGCCATTTGAGCACCCTGCTCACCAACTACGACAAACTAAGCACACACTAGCAAGGTTTTATACAGGAACACATCTGCGGCGATAATAAATAGGATATACGTAGCCATAACTGGAACATCAATTTTAATTGTGCCTTTGTAGTCAATTTAAGGCGTTAAAGTGATTTGATAACTATGGCAGGAATTTCAAACGCATTTTTGCATTGTAACGATTATCGACTATCAGACTATTAAACACGTTTTTGTCAATCCATTTTCAGACCCATCAAAACAGAGTCAGTTGACGTTGATCTTAAATGCGGTCGGTGTCACGGTGGCACTCTTGCTGATTCTTGTTGCGGCCATCGTCTTCTGGAGACGCCTAAAGAGTAAGTTCACTGCAAACCCTGTTTACTGCAATCCCTATTGATACTGCCATCATACCACCAAACCACTACGTTGATACCAGGGGCGGATCCAGGATTTTCCTAAAGGAAGGGCGTGAAATTTTTCCACAAAATTCAGAGGAGATTTTTTAAATATTTTTAACAAAAAATACTTAATAGTGATTTCACAAGAACAAACAAATCTGATTCCTATCACATTCCTGTCGCGCCATGAAAGTTAGCAAGAATGCCCATCAAAATGTTTTGATAAAAATTTGCCTTGCCTAATAATATATGAAAATATATTTAAGGTGGGTTATTCTTTAAAATAATGGAGAATTTAAGTCGTCCGCGCCGCTATGCTCAAACAATGACAATGTTAGTTACCGTCAGCCGCCGGCCGCAGCGCTGGCCGTATATTGCGTCGCGCACACGGCGCACTATCGTGATAACAGCACTGTGTATTGTGTGGGACCCCGGACAAATCCATTCGTACTGTGACCGAAAAGTTTGCAGAAACACGCTACGGTGTATCACGTTCGAGCGGAACAATCTCGTTATAAATATTTATTTTAATGGAAAACACATACACAGAAAAGAGAGATCACGTTCTGCATGGGTATTAATTTGAAGAAACTCTCTCTCTCATCGATGTTCGTTTGGTATTTTCTATGATCCAAATTCAACGCACGAAACCGTCGCAACGTATATAGCCCGTATTTGTAGTCACTGGTTCTGGTCCTACATCATATAGCTTTGATTCTGTTGGGAACGCGGTGGGAACCAGTGAATGGCGATGGCACTGCACTGCACTGCCACATGCCGTACGTACGGAACATCGTACAGCGGCATGGCTTCGATGTCGTGAATGTGCACTTTGATGACACATGCGGCAGAAATACAGGCTTTTTTCCTCAAGATTGAGCATGTCCAGTTGAAATTAAGAATAGCGCGTGTATTTTTTTTTTTTAGGGGAAAAAAGGAGGGGGCGTGTGCCCCCCACGCCCCCCCCCCCCCTGGATCCGCTCCTGGATACTGCCAGCCAGTAGCTGCTGCTCTTTTGTTACTGACACCAATGTGGCAAGATTCTGGCAGAGGGCCCTCTTCTCTTTTGTGTTGCTCAATTTGTGTTCTCAGGATCCCAGGAATTATTTTGATATACGGTGTAGTGTGCATATAGGTGACAGGTGTCCCGCTGTCGCAAATTGCGCCGGGTATATACTGATAATACTGCTGATGTGCCGCTCTGCTGCTCTATATCTATCGTTGTGCCTCCATGTTGCCATTTTGCACCGTAGCTTCTGAAACTGCTGCAATTATGTTGATGTTCAACTCTTTGCATAAACGTACAACAATAGGGAATTGTGTCACCTGTCTGACACATTGACCTATGTAGGAACCTAAAGTTTTCTTTTATAGTGTATGAATCCACACATTACTTTTTTTACAATGCTTTTTCTGTCACTTTGCGACAAATACTGGGGACGCCACATATTAACATAATTTTTCAATGAAGAGTAATCAGAAACTCACATGTGCTTTTACACTACATGGTCGGTTAAAGATCAGTATGGGTACGGTGAGGTTTGATCCTAGATTAGGGCAAATATCAAGATCAGTTGCAGTGAGTGTATTGTACCTGTTAGTTCAGCACATGAAGCAACGTTGAAATATTTTTCTTGCGGTATGCTTATAAATAGTGAAACATTTATTCGTCGAGATTAAAACTAGTATATAGAACAGTATTGTTGATTGTTCAGAATGCATATTTGCGTTTCGAATTCAAATGTTATTATTTTTTTGATTTATTTACATCGGGAAACAAATTTATCCTGTATAGGCCTCGTGGTGACAGCTTAAGGGATCGAATATGGAGGTGATTTTAGTTTGTAACGAGTTTCTTTTTATGTGGGTTAAAGTATAAATTGGAGAAAAAAAAACGAAACTTCAAACCCCACTTTTGAAATGACTACATGTGAAATATGAAGGTAATAATAACAGAAACCAATGTAGACTTCTGTTTTTGGTTTAATTGTATTTCTTTTTATTCTTATCTACAGATAACATTCCCCCCGATGGAAACCAGTGAGTTAAATATAGTATAAATACTGCTATCGTCAAATGGGTTCTGCTTTGACAATGATTTTGTTGTTGTAAATTAGTACTGCAGTTCAGTTTCTTTTTGCACTTACATCAATTTCATCAATTTCAATGATCTTTATTTCGGAAGATATTATCCAACCTGTATGCACGTTCTGTTCCCACGTTTTATAGAAGCATTATCTCAGCACATTTGAAACGTTCCGTGCTAGAATAAATCCAAATATCAGGTCTTACCGATGACACAATGTTGCAAACGACTACTTCTTTAAAGCCGAAGGAAACAGTGAAATCAATGTGCCTGCATGTTCCCCCAGAACCATTTAGTCTCCACCAAACATCGATGATGTCATGAAATCTGGCGCAAACCTCATTGTTGTAAGATAATTGCACTAAAACTGCTTGAAAAGACAATTAGCCCCCTGCAAAGGGCGGCCCTACAAAAAGACAGGTCTTGTGAGTTTATTTTTTTAAATGTACTCATGACGGTTACTATATATTTATTTATTTCTGATCTTTTAGCAGGGTAGCCCGTTCGCATACTTATAATGTGGTCTTCCACGGAGCTCTGGACATAACATTTCAAAGAATATAAGTAACAAGACAAAAACTAGCTATTAAAATGTTTAAAAGTGTATACAAAATATCAAAACAGATACGAAATCAGATCATATAAAATCATAACCGAATAATCATTAAATAAAAGAGACATGAGCGGGTATACAACATTAACAGTATATTGTATATGGAAAAAAGACATAGACACAAGTTCAGATTAAGACAATAGATTTGAGAACAAAATCCAGAATAAGTCTGACATGCATATCAATAAACGAAAAACGAAAAAAAATGTCAATGGTAAAGACAGTAAAATACCCTTATTATGTTAAAGATATATAAGAAGCTGCCCTATGCAAGAATGCAGGATTTAGGCGGTGAACAAAAGCAACATATCATAATAACATCAATGGTATGCCTCTGAAAGCTTGATTTTATACCGATATTTTGCTAACATGATATTACAGGCCTGCAGTTCACTACACACGGACTGGACCCGACATTCCCACGGCGTCTGCAAGTCCTGTCTTGAACACAGTCGTAGGGCCATCAGGTAAACTAAGCTTTGTGCCCGAGTGCCAAAGCTGTTTGTACTTCAGGTTGGGATGTCCATATCTAAACTGAATTGGAAATATCAAACGTACAGGTCCTTGGAATGTTACAATGCGCATCGAACTATAATATCCGATCGCTAAAGAACGTTATTGTTTGACGTTGGTTTTGGTGTGACAGGATGGAAATTGCTTCTTCCTAGAATTAAATTCTAAAAAATATTTTCTCAGTTGACTATACAAAATTAGATCCAGCTGCTCCAAATTGATTGTTAGATATGAGGCTTTCCATTGGAAGTTACCCTTTTCGACAGTGAAGTCTATTGCTAATTTGACCATTTAAACACTTTAAAATTATGGCCGTGTTACAAAGATGCCAATTTCAGGACTTTCTTAAAATCATTAAAAGATGTGGGGAATATCTACGACAAAAATTGTATAATTGTACAACTGAATTGTATAAAATGTACACCAGCCGACAAATTAAGTTATACAATCTGTTTCATTTCCTATTTATCTCTAATTTGTATTTTTGTTTAAAGTCTTCAAACTCCTTAAAAACGTTACGTGCTTGAGAGGAAAATTAATGGCTTGCCTCACTCCTTGAACCTCAACAGAAAATATTCCCGATCTAGATGATTTTCCTTTTTTTTTCCTTTTTTGTCTGGCCTTTTCGTTTCAGGCAACAGGGCAGCGGAGAATGTTGTCCTCTCTGACCCCCAGGAGCAAAGAAACGTGCCATCTACCGGCAACCAACAACCAGCCGCCAATGTAAAAGTCATGAATACACTCCTTAAAGTTGTCAAAAATAATATCACTGATTCGATTTTACTGAAATTTAAATATTTAGTCATTCCCATCCTGGATGTTGAGTTCATGTGGTTTAATAGTCCAAAGACGTTTCATCAGCACTTCCTCCATGCTTGTGATAGCCAATTGATTCTTTGCCCTGTAAAACCATATCAGAAATGGAATGGTTAAGCAAGTTGAAGTGTTGACAAATAGGGGTGTCAATAATTATAATTTTTCTTCAAATGCGATTTTCTAGCATTTGCATTAAAACATGTTTGTCTACGTGCTGCATTTATTTCAGGTGGTCCATACGTATGAAGACCGTATCACAAACACACCCCCATTGGAAGCCCAGCCCATCCGCATAGTACCTCCTACCCAATACGAAGACATCGACAACCTCCAGATTTCATCTCCTGTCGAGACCCCGCCTCTTTTCAGAGACGACGCTACCAGCCTGTGGGATGAGGGGCAGAGTGTGGACGGTCTGGAGGAAGAGGGCAGGATGGAATGGGCTCCGCCCCGCCCCCTCCGGGGTAACCCAATCCTTCCTCCAGTACGGGATTGGCAGATGTAGGTATGTGTTACAATTGCATTAATTAAAGGGTGCGCTCTAATTGCCAAAAAGTGCGATTTCAAGATCACCAAGCGAGCAGCCCAATAAACATGATTGTTTAGACTTGTTTAATGATCTGTGAACTGATAAATACATTGTTTACATTTAATTCTTATCATGCGTAATCTGTAGATACATTTTTCTTCTTTAAATAACGTTCACTGTTTTTCATTTAGTAGGCTTATTTTACAGTGTTTGTCTATACATGTTTAGTTATTTTGTTTTACATGAAGAATGAAACGTAGTGGTTTCTTCTACGTTAGTGTTGCATTTGGTTTTAGTCGAAGGACAACATACTTGGAAGTAAAGTCGAAAGGCTTTTTACGTATAATATTGACTAAAGATTTATTAAAATTATTTGTAATTTTATTCTGAATTTAAAGTTCACGGTCGGTAAATTATTTTATTTTGAAAATATCACAGACGTTTTAGAGGCGTTCTGTCAATATTCAATAAACGTTCCAGTCTCACCCATACAACATGTAATGAATCCATGACGTAAATTGACGATTCCATCTTAGCTTAGAAACTTTACTGTGAATAATGCCACAGTTTGCTCAATGTCTTAATCTAAAGTATAAACAGTTATGACCTTGTAATATTGTAGAGAGATGATTGTTTGTTATTGTTATAACATACAACCTCACCAGCATCGGTGGAATATCGGTGTACTTGCAGCAGTGCAGACCATGTAAGTAGCTTTTAGGATCCGAGTGGCGCCAACTAACGATGGGTGCGGCATTTAAAGCCACACAACCATAAACTTTAAAAGACTATGAAGGAAAAACATGCATGCACCTGAGACTAGGCTGAACCTGAACAAAATACGTTCTGTTTTATGAACGAAGAGTAATGTGCCCAAGTTGTTAAGAGAAGTGTAAACAAGTCTTTTTATTACAAAGTTGGAAGTGAGTTACGTCTCAATAGGCAATAGTTTCAACCAACGGGGGCGCTGTAATCACGCCATCTTCTTGATACAAATGCAAGTAAAATGTCGTTCATGGATGCAGTTTAGCTACTTAACTAACATCGAACATTTTAACATTGTAAACACGTATAGTTTTAAATAGTAGCAGCATGCAAGCACGCGTCAATAACTTTGGAATCGCATCCATTTATGCCTACAAAATGGCATCGTTACAGCGCCCTCAATTGTTTAAGAATACGGCTCATTTTGGGACTAAGATTCACGTTTAATAATCTCTACCATGCACGTTTTGGTTTTAAAAAAAAGGTTGCTGCAGCTATTAAACGGTGATGATTTCCTCACACTGAATTTGCCATGTTTAGAACATTCGAACATTATCTCAACTTGTTTCCATTATCCTTTGTGTCTAAAAAAAAATGTATCTGGAAAATTATACATCATCCCTGTTGAATTTTATTTAGGATTTGTAGGGTGTTATTTCACAATTCAAATCGCCTTATTCGCCGTTATAATTCAATAATTGGCTAACAACACTGTGATTATCGACCCTGTATTGTTTTGGGTTCAAAGAAAACACTCGGTCTAAAGAGGCTCTCAATAAATGATTTAGCTATTGATGTTGAAAAATAATCGATGCTTAAAAATATGCTATAAAAATTGTCTACATGCTTAACGTTCTTTGACCTGTATAATAGCTTGGAAGAACTTCCCCTTTGACTCGAATTGACTCGAGCTAAATATTTTCCTCGACTAGACTCGACTACACACTATGACTCGACTCGACTCGACCTTTTGGACATAATGACTCGACTCGACACGAGTCACAACAATCAATGACTCTTACAACTCTGCTTTGCTAAACTTAACAAAAACGATTTAAAGGAAAAGTACAACATTTGCAAACATCAACAAATAAAACTACCAAATCATTGTAAAATACCTTGCAGGACTGTTAGTGAATGACAGTGTAAAGCATCCTGTAAAATCATGGCACCTGGTATACTATCATTTTCAAGAAAAGTGTTATTTTTGTATCAATTTCCAACGCTGATCGGCCGATTAGCGTTGGAAACAACTAGCTTTTTTTCAAATACTTGCCGCAATTGACCATCGCACTTGTTTGCAATCGATTACACACACTATGAACGGGTACAAGCCAGCTAGACTGGTTCCCTGACCTTACGATTCCCCAATGTATGTAAACTGCTCTGTTTCTTCTTCAATGGAGTCAGGGAACCAGACTACAGGAAAATGATTGTTTTTCTTGGTTTTTATAGCATTTTTTAACCCAAAACCTCAAAAAAGTCAGTGTAACTATATTTGCTATATATTTCCAACTCCCCAATTCCATCCATTTCTGAAAATTACAGTAAAAGCAAATGATGTATATTCCCTTTAACCAGCACACTTTGGTTATATCGTTGATATATGCCTTGGTTACATTCAACCAACAGCATGGTTAAATTTACCAAATATATTTTACCACTCGTTTGTTTATCAATTTAGTAAGGTTTTGACCAAACGATTGGTCAAGGTAATAA